ACGGGCCTACAGCATTTTCGCTTTCATCTAAAATGCAGCCGCCACAGCCAGGATTCGATCCCGCGACCTGTGGATCAGCAGTCAAATACTATAGCCACTATACCACCGCGGTGTGGCCCCCTCAGCGTGTAGATAACCATGACTAATCAAAGCAATGTCTCGAACGTAATCTAAGTATAAGTTTTGGGCCTCATAATCATTCGTATAGCGAACAAATTGCTTTACCACATTAATTCTGCACATAAACATTCTCCTGCACACTAGTCCATGATAGGCGCGCAAATACTCAGAATTGTGCGCATTCGCTCTTCCAATTGGTTGTCGCGTGGCTTATATAGGTGTCACTGCCCCGCAACTCGATTTGTGAGATGGGCCGTATATACAGACCGGGCACTACTTTTTTACGAGAGACGACGCCCTTAACGTGATCAATTGTTTTGGGCAAACAATCACCATTAACTATGTACGCCACTCCATGATCAAAGAAGGATTAGCGAAACGAAAAATCGCGCACTGCAGCCAACTGCATTCTTTGGTCTCGGCAAACGTTGAACTGGAAACGCCGTAAACGACGCTTGGTATCGTGGTTGAAACATTGCTGTGTTTTGCACTTGTTTTCTAATAATGTCTCTTTTAGGCGCAATTTCAAGCCGATGGGAGTTTTGATATGCTTATCGTTACAATGATGACGCACGCAAATACGCTAGTTTTAGGCTGTTCCAGAAATAGGACGGCAAACGCGAGGCCTCAACGGCTGTTTTCTCATTAATCGACTTGCTGCGCGGTCTCGTTCGTGTCGGCAGTACTACGTTGTAAACGTGACGAATGCACAGTGCACCACGCTCGATGAGCGTGCTCATTCTATACTTAGCCTTACTTTTCGCAATTATCTCTCTCTCTCTCTCTCTTTTTTTTTACTTGAGCTTGAAATCGTTCGCCAGTACTTGCAAGGCTGCATTTGCAAGGCTGAGCAAGTCGCAAAACTCTGCGTCATTAAGAATGGTGTCAGAGGCACTTACAGTTTTAGGACGGAGCACTTCTTTAATATTTATCAGCCAGCCATTGCTGTTTCTTTATTTTGAAGGCGACTAGCTCTTTTGCAGAGAGAAAAAAAATACGTAGATAAATATGACAGCAGATCTGAATGATTTATGAGATGCCACATTTGTTTCCGTTCTGTTCGAGGACAACTCTGAAGCTCCTGTGGAAAATTTTATGCTGCATATTAAATCGAAAGCAAGCACAGAAAGATATAAGTTCAAGTACATGGAGTTTAACTCCATGTATTTGCCACCACGTAATCGCTCTACACCCATTTGCTATATCTGGAAGGTCTAACAAAATAACAACTGGGCTTTACGCACGAAAACTACGATATGATTACGAACGACGCTGTTGTGGAAGCGTCAGAAAATTTGAACAATCAGGTGCTCTATAGCGTGCATCACTGTATGGCACAGTACACGGCTTGCATCGTTTCGCCTTCATCGAGAACGCCACAGGCGGGATCACGCCCAACACCTTTGGTTCAACCTGAAAGGTCTTTCTTTGATATTGATATGTGTGGTTTAACGTCCCAAAACCACCATATGATTATGAGAGACGCTGTAGTAGAGGGCTGAGGAAAAATGACCACCTGGGGTTTTTTAACGTGCACCCGAATCTGAGCACACGGGCCTACAGCCTTTTCACCTGCATCGAAAATTGCTGCCAGCCGCATACGGGATTCGATCCTGCGACCTGCGGGTCAGCAGCCGAGCACCTTAGCTACTAGATCACAACGGCAGGGAAAACCTGAAAGGTCTAAAAGCACCGCTTATCTGTCTGGACGTTTTGGACGTCAAAAGCCTACAGATTCCCACGATGTATAAATTTTTAATAGTGCTAATTCGCATGAAAGCCTAGAATGCAGCATTAACAGGTCGCATATTTAAATGGACAGCGAGACAAAAACGACCCATGGTTGAGGTAAAACACGGGATGATCGCTTATGCACATACAAGAAATAAACATTGGAGCTAAGCTTTTTAAATACGCATACATGTAATCCGGTAAGCTGTCCACCCTACTGAAATTACCATGCTTCCCTAATGCGCACTCTGGTACACTTTCACCCACTCGTTATGCTTGGGAGGTAAGCTGACTAACAACATAAAGAGTCGGCTACTATGTCGACGTATATAAATCCTGGCACTCGTAAAATTGTTTTCATGTTACCATCGCAGCCTTTCGGTAATAACTGGGACTATGGGATATCGACTATGTCCATGAGCAGCATTCGGTTACGACGTACAGCTTTCGAAAACACGGGTAGCCATAGACCTGTTGCGACAGTAGGTTGGTATGACTACGTGAAATGCTCGATCGCATCGCGAGAAACCAGCTGTCATTAGCGCTCTCGTGTGTTGCCAGAATTATTGATATAGCATATGAAAGTCGTAGTGTAGAAAAATAACTTATTGATAACTTTGGTAATTAGGTTGAAAAAAAAAGCGTTTTGCACGCTTCCAAGAGCCCGATAGAACGACGACAGGAAAAAGAAACACACGTTTCACTCTCATATGGTGCCATCGTCTGTTATTATAGTTGTTCTGTACTTGGTTATATATTTGGTTTGGTTATACCTGGCTCGTAAATAACGAGTAAGGGCTGCTTACCTGAAGGTCGCGGGTTTGATCTCGGCCACGGCGGTCGCATTTTGATGGAGGCCAAACAGTAGAGGCCCGTGTACTGTGGGAAGTCGGTGGCCGAAATTTGCGGAGCCCTCCACTACGGCGCCCCTCTTAATCATATCGTGGTTTTAGGACGTAAAAACTCACGTATTACTATTAGCATTGACTATGAAGAACAAACTTGCACCACGCTTAACATTGGGTAAGAAATATTTACTCTAACAAAATAAAACTAAAAACACAGGAGCTCAAGCTCACTGGCACCGGTCTACATCACCCTCGGGAATTTTCATATATGTGCCCACTTTATTGAACTATTGTAACTCGTTAATCGTCTCTGTGTGGCTGTGACTAAACGTGACAACCACGTTTCCGTCTCTCCTGGTGTATAGCGACACACTCACCGGTGAGCCGAAGTTGTGTCCGATCTCGTGCGCCAGCGTCACGTGGGACACAATCGGGGGCACGTGCTTGCCGTAGTTGAGCAGCGTCACGATGCCTGTGTTCAGGCTCTTGAGGCTGCCCCGGTAGTGCTGCGTGTATCGTGGAAGTGCGAGAGGTGTTAGAGCTTTGACGGTCAGGACAGCACTGACACAAGCGTCACAGTTGTTTATTTCGTTGGCATCGTCAGGGTAGCATGCGTTGTAATTTATCTTTTCGGGTTGATTTTGTTAACGCTATAGCAACCGACTTCAGCGGTCTCTCTAAAGTACGCGACAGACACGCAAGAAGTAAGGGAGCTTTAGAATAACGTTTTCAGGTGCTGCGGGCGTTGCGGGCATAGCGGGCACCATACGAGCTTTAGAATAACGTTTGCCCCTTCGTTAGCTGCCCCGCAAACTCAAATGCACGGAAACTACACATAGCCTTGACACAAGCACATCGCGGGCCTCGCGGGTCGCGATTACCGCACGCTATTTCGGATTTTCTTCGCGCGGGCCGCAAACGCGAACGGCGGCTCGCGTACGACGCATGCGCAGTGGCAGTGACCGCACCACAAGGGCTCGCGGTGTGCTATTCTGAAGCTCCCTATAGATCGGATGGCACAAATTACCTCCGGACGCCTCCAGATGCCTGCGACATCCAGAAGCCGCCAATTTGAAATCCACCAGTTTACCCGTCACAGTCAAACCAAAAGCTCACGTCACACTCTGCACAATGTATGCTAAGAAAACTGAAGAAACTGTGGCATATAAGGACTGAGAACTGGGCCAGTTTGTGACTACTTGGGCATATCAGCGCTGCGGTTTGTTCCTTCTCATGCGTCCGTGTAGTCGTACGATGTGTTAAAATGTGTTCAAAAAACTGTGACATCTTAACAAGACCGCACTTGAGGACGTGATGAAAGCCTCTTGGCAAGTTTCAATGCATCTTCCAAAGATACACAGGCATATTGCTGTCGCCACTGAATCAGAGAGGTGGGTGTGGTCAAAGGGACCCCTAATTAACTGTGTCGATGATCTTTATTCTGATGATAGACTGTCTTTATTCTCGTTCTGTCGAATAAAACGCTCCGCGTTAATCAAGCTACGTTCGTCAGAGCGCGCAACCCAAGTTGGGCAAGTTTGAAAGCGCGTTTCGTTTCGTCACGGTTCATGTAACCTTAACCGCATGTCACTCGACTGAAGCAAAACTCTTACGCCATGCAGCACACCGATACACAAACACTGTAAAATAACCCGCTTTACTTTCGCGGCCAGTTTCACATTCAACACACAAAGGAGACTAAAAACGTACGAAACAAAAAAGAAGACACGAGGGTGGGCACATGCCTTACCGGATTACGTGCAGCATTCCTCACAATCCATGTTGCAACTCCGGTGCGGGCACATGCAAAGAAAACTTTCAGGCATCCATCCTCCTACGTTCAAAATAAATGTACAAGTCATTGACTTTTTTTTTCTTGAAGTAAATTTTATATAGGTATGCATGCTCCTCCAAGCGCAAAGCCGGGCATGAAAACCCGCAACTGTTGCGAGAAAAAATTCACCCTGAGGCACCGTAAGCAATACTAAATAACAAGCTAGTCGCAATGGGCTTGGACAGGCTGAGGTCCATGTAATTCTTTTTTTGTCTCTCGGAAACTGCGCAGCAGTCATGCTTACTTGAATGCATCGTTCGTTACGTTGAGCTGGTTACATTATTTCGGTAAAGGTCAGAAGAATTTAGAAAATTGATAGGGCTGTCAGAAACAGTTTTCAGAACCTGTTGTCATACACTCTCTGCGAGAAAACATTAGCGTATACTCGGGAACTCGGGAAAATTGAGGGCGTAAACCATAAATAACTTCAAACAAGAATATGATGCTGCCGGCTTCACTTCAAATAAAGGTTGTTCATTGTTGCATGCACTTGTCATACCTAACCTTTCTCTGAGGCGCTATGCACGCAACTTGTTTTCGCTACTTGTATCAACTCAGGCAGGGATCGCAAACACGCCACCCGCTGACTTACACGGCTCTTTTTCATGAATATTTTTTTTAGTTTCTACATGTGTAATTCGTCAATTTTCTAACAAAATTGTAAAAAAAAAGTAGTTGGTCCGGAGAAAGCTATGTGTATTTCTTTCTTAGGCACCTTCTGTACTTCTGGTATCAACTACGTTGCTGATATCCGGGCACCGAAGTCCGTTTAGAAACGACCCGTACAAATGACAAGGCCAGTAGGCACAGCGTGTCTCTCCTCTAGCCCGGCAGTGGGCCAGCTAACATTTGAACAACTTACCCCTCCATGCCCTGGTTTCGGGACGCAAAACCCGAAATATCATTCAATTGCCCCTTTTCCCCACCCTCTTTCGCTCCTACTTTCGTCGCTGTCCTGGCCCTTGAGAAGTAAACTATCGCGACTGCGGACCGCTAAAAGAGATAAGTGTGAGACACCTGGGAATACAAAAGAGTGAGATTTATCAGGCTTTGAATGAACTTCCTGCACAATGCAAATAACTTTTTCGTCATTTACTTTCTTTTGCAGAAATAATGTTGGTAATGATCGCTTCTTGTAGGCAAAACCACGTTCGACGAATTGTTCGACGTGCCACTTTCCGTAAGCCATTTGAAAAGTATGGTTTTTCTTTGCTCAAATTGGACGTAACCAAACATTAGGTTGCTTATATTTCGAGCCTTTCATTTCGTTCTGTTTATGCCAAAGCAGAGCATTCATGTCTTCCGGATAGACAGATATTCGTTTGCACGTTAGTTAGGATTATTTGATTTAACATACATAGGTTAACACATTATAAGATTATTTTTGTAGTTGTACAATATTGGACACCTTTAAATAACGCTGTATCAACTTGACACATCTAGAGATGCTTATTCATAAGTGTTATCTGAAAGGGTTAAATAATCGCCAACTCTTCTCCAAGAAGTTATCGAATGGCTTCACTAAAGGAGTTTATCACGTCACGAATCGACCACGGCCATTCTATTTATTGATTTGTCAATTATGAGTGAAGTTATTCAGATTTGTAGCACATGGTAAATGTTTTCTCTCTTCTCCTGTCTTGACGAGTCACTGGAAGATAAGGAGGTATGTATAGCGTGCCGGAGAGAAGTTACGTCATGCGTAGGTCATGACGCTGGGCACTTTCTTTTTCCTTTTTCTTCGAACACACTGCTTACTTTCAGCATGACCGTGAGCGAGGGCACGTGGCAGCCTCCAGCGGCGACCACAGAAACTATGCAACGCAAGATGTTCAGATCGGTCGATGAGCGCGAACTTGAGCATATAACGGCGACATAACAGGCATTATCTGTTGAAAGAAGAGGGTACATTTGCTAGCTGAGTTGAAAAAATAATTGTGAATCCCAGGCCGCGTGCTGCGCTGTAATGTTTGTCTTGCGTGCTCTAAGGACATTCGCCTACCGATCACCAGCCTTTTCAGACCATGCGCGAAAATTTTTGCATAATAAAAAAAGAGTACGTAAATTGGGATTTTGTTTTATTGCATTTGTAAACAAAATTGTACCTCGACATGAAGTTCTTGTGAACTGTATTCACTCAATGAAAGAAAATGAAAGTGAAAGCAGTGCCAGTGAGATTCGAGCTGGCACCCTCAGGCCGTCATTGGGTGTGTAAAGCTCCAGCGTTCGAGCTATGGTGACTTCGCCTTTCTTAGGTATGCTTAAGTGTTGAATCGTATATACATGCACACTCACTATTTAAGATTTTTTTACTAGCACCTCTTATATGGCCGTAATGGTGCATTTAGTTCTCAAAAAGTGGTGGTATTAATAATAGATAACGCAGGCTACACATACAAGGCATGATGCATAGATATGTTAGGATCCCGGACATTCTTGTGATACGTGCAAGATGAAACGTTGTCCTAGTTGAGACTCATGCTGTTTCATGCATTGCTAACTTCAGGTGCGGGCTTTGACGCCCGAAAACTACACGTAGTGAACGTCTCCGTGTTAAGTTTAACCATCTCTACTTCTTCTTTTCTTAAGCAGCGTAAGGTGAGGGTGTTTGCAATTCACGAGCGTGTTTGCTATTTTTTTTTTCGAAATACTGCCGCAGCTGTTGATCCAACCAACGACTTCGTGCTTGCAAAAACGTCATGCTACTGAGCACGCCCGGGAGAAGCAAACCAGGAAAGGTCATGACAGCACTTTTTTGAAGCTGGAAGTGCACCAGTCATTGTGGGCCATCTTACTTCCATTCTTCAACCAGCTCACCCTTATCCGATAGGCGCGAGCTCGGTGCTGCTACTTTCAAGCTTTCCGACGATAGTTATAGCGCGAGAACAAAACGACGACACAGAGACAAGACAAGTCTCTGTGTCGTCGTTTTGTTCTCGCGCTATAACTATCGTCATGCCATACCAACTAGCCCAAGCTGCCACACTTCTAAGTTTCAAGCTTTCGTTACGACAAGCTAGTAGGGGGCGTGGCTGGTGCGCGTCAAAGCGAGATCTGCTCAAATACTGTAAAAGTTTTCACCAAGCAGGAACTGCCCCTGCATCTACCATTGGCCCCTTCAAGAAAGGGCCGTGATTGTGCGATAAAGATTGCGCGATAAAGATCACACTAGCAGCAGCACAGATAGATCCAACTCACAATTTTCATGCTTGCTCACTATACGCAGCAAACACAGCTTGTTTCGCCCACGGAATGCGCTGTTGGAAACGCTCGGGGCAAAAAGGGTTTTCTCGTTTTGCGGAAACCCTGAGGAGTTGGGGTACATCGGGCCCGGTTGCAATGCGAACACGCACGTTTGGTGCTGCAGTTCCAGTCATCCATTCGCGGGAAAGAAAATAATGATATCACTTCCGCCGCACTCTTTCCGAACACATATAGCTGTTTGCAGAAGCCTACCCTAAACATTTACTTCATCTAAGCTGCTTACTTTCCCCCATTGCGTCTTCTGAGCCGTTTACTATAGGAATCGGCAAGGAAAAGGTATTTTTTTTCTGCCCTTGCTTTATTTTTTGGGCTGTTATGCTCGTAATGTGGAGCCCTTAGGTTTTCCTACTCGTGTCATATGCTTAATTACAATGCTTAAGCTGTTTTGATGGTTCGTAATGTTCCTGAGCAAAACAGAGCGTGCGGGGTTGTTAATATTTTCCCTAATACTTGCCTTACGCTGAAATCAACCATATAAGCTTCACCTCGCCTGGATTTTTTTTTTAGCGCGAAACATGACGACAGTGCTAAGTTCTGCTCCTGACTGACCACTTGATGAAGTTCGACTACGCCCGAGCAACTGAACGATATAACGACTCACCACCACCAAGTGTAGACATCTGCCAGTAATTTGTATGCTCAGCCTTTTTGTAGCCTAAATCAGTGATCAAATCTTTACTCTATCAGCCTATATTTTACACGTCACTGTGTATAGGCCGAAAATGTATCTGGCGAGACACTTTGATCTGTCACTCCACGTGTAACATTAGCGCGAAACATATAGGTGGGTCTCTGCAAGAGCAACTAATACGTGCTGGTGTTGGACGTGCATTTTGTGCTTTCATTATTCGCAAAAAACACTCGAGGCTGTTCATGCCATGCATGCCAAAAACGTGCTCCATTTGCTTCATCTTGCCGCCATTCTCCCCTCACCCTGCATATAAAGCCTTTTCAAAGTGTTACCTCGTACGCGAAATGAAAGTCCCCGTAAAAAACAAAAAAAGCAAAGTACAAGCGGCGAGTCGACAATATTATGCCGTAAGGCTAGGGCACAGCTCCCACCAGCGTCGAGGAGCAATGTTAAAGAATTAAAATGCGGAAGTTTGGACTCGATGTTCATTGTTGGGCACTCTTAATTTTTACTGAACAGCACGTAGAAATGACGACTATGCATTCCGTGTGAATTTTCAAAGCGTGATGGGTGAGTAAAACACCTCCGTGACACTTCTTGGTGATGAAGCTGGCTCTAGCAACTCCGCGCTATCTACTGCACTACAGAAGACATCATCTAGTGCTTCCTTTAGCTTTTTTATGTTTTTCCATACGCTGATTCAGACAAAATCTACTGACTGGATAAGGCCGAGTAGTGCGATCACTAAAACATATCTAGGTGCAATGTCGTTATCATAGGCGTGCGCACATGAGGTTGGAGGGTGAGGTCGGGGACGCTACCCTTCCCCCTCTGCACTACCGTCTTTACACCGTGTACTGACTGTAACGGCGTCAGTGCGAGGGTGTTGGGAAAAGACGGTAAAATGCACTGCGGCGGGACCTTAGCTACATCGTCCCTAATATTGGAGAACCCTTCGGACGCCTATGGTCGTTCCTAATTTACTGGTGAATCCAGAGACATGGCCGTATTTCAGTGCGTATACTATGCATGTTACCAAACGTTCTGTCTTGTTAGATGGGCAGATGAGATCAGGAAGTTTGCGGATATAACGTGGCCGCAGCAAGCACGGGACCGGGTTGTTGGCGCAACAGGAATAGGCTGCCTTACCTGTAATAGGCGCCGTCAAGCTGATGATGATGATAACGACGAAGATAACGAAACATGTTACTATATGTGGTCATATTGACTGCTATATGTTTATGGTGGGGGCCGAGGAATCGGTTTTTCTTACCCCACAATAATGTATGTGGTCATACCTCCTTCATCCTATACCCGCCTAAACTCTGCATACATTGGATCAGCAACTGCGTGTACTTAACCTTAGTAAGTGAAACAACCTTGGGAAAAGCCACGGGACCTAGGGCGTCCTTTTTTTTTTCCAACATGTGTGCGGTGTACACAAGGCGTATCTCCCTTCTTTTCAATGTCAAAAGTATATAGAGTCCGTGCGGATTAAAATAGTGCAGACAGAAAGAATAATCCTGAAACAGGCGAGCTTTGTCCTACCCCGTTCTTCTCGCAGACGCCTCCGGCATTCTTGAGGTCTCCCGTCCAGGCGAGACCCAGCGTCCCGCCCTCGAAGTCCCTGTAGGTGAACATGTATGCCAGGCAGAAGGCGTCGTAGTCCTCCTCCGAGAAGAGCTCCAGGAACTTCTCGACGCCGTAGTTCCCCGGGAACCGGTACTCGTGGTCCCGCAACGCGTCCATCGTGTGCACCTTGATGCGCTTGATCAGGAACGAGATGTTGTCCGAGCGGCCGTCCTGATCGAAGTCTGGGGACGAGCAACGTCATTCACGACTCATGCCCAGCCCTATTGCGAATACTCCCAGTAATATATGGGAGACACACGGAAAAGAAATATTATGTAACGAAGAGCTTAGCGCATATTCTATAGATGTGTGGCACTATGAAACCCCTTGTGATTTCCTTTCTTTCCGATGAATACACTGTGGTTGAAGGTAAAAAACACGGAGGCCCTGAGGGATTCCGTCAGCCGTGCCATACAAGATGACTACACTATCTTGTGTACGGCTGAAGCAACCTCGTTTTAATAAGCCAGTTCTTTCTTTTAAACCCCACTCTTTCGGATTGGTCACTTTGACACTTGTAATACTTTGAAGAAGTTCAGTAAGGATTCTGTTCTATTCTACTAATGTAATATTGAAGCACAACAAGCAGAGAAGGGGAGGGGGGAGGTGCGGAGGATTAATTCGATATTCGTTTAACTAAACATCTTCTTTCCCGGGCATTTTACAGCAAAAACTTTTCCGCTTCCTTTATATGTATGAACTAAAATGTAATCGGACCTGTGGAAAAATGTATTTTTTGTCAATTGACGTATTGCCATTCGCATTCAGGTTTCACAGCAGCCATAACCTCATACTTGATCACCGTATGTTGGACATCAAGTTTAAATACGTAGAGAGTTGCCATACAGGTTGACATCTCTTACAAGGAAAGTTTCACTCTTAGAAGGTTGTTTAGGGTGGTACAACCCCCTTGCTGCTCACTGCATGCTTTATAGTCGAGTAGCCGATCCGGCGTGCTATACCTGTGGTCCTATAAATGGAGTTGACCTTCTGTACGTGCCGCGTCATGGTCTCAATGCAGGCCTCCTCCGAGCCCATTCTCTGGTAGAATAGGTGGTCGGCCTGCAGGTACAGCATGCAGGTGGTCTTCTTTGGGTCGATGACGACGTTCTTGGCGGGCTGGTCGCTGCCCGCGGCCCACTGAGTGCGCTGCACCGACCGGATACCCAGCGCCGCGGAGTCCGGCTCCGGTAGCTCCAGGTCCTTTTGGCTGTAGTGCGCTGCGTCGCCGTCTCGCCACATTAGGCGTGGTTCGTCCTCGTGTACCTGTGTGTATACGCGGCGTCAATGTCTAGGACAAAAGCTCAGTATTTTTAGTAAGCATCAGTGGTTTGGTGATAACAAACACCATGCAACTCATAAGGGACCATGGCTTGACGTCTTCGGGAGGAGGAGAAAGTAATTGAAAGAGGATAGAAGAAAGGAGAAAATGAGTACCCCCAACACTGAGCCCCAGAACAGGTTTCCTCTCTCCCAATTAAAAGATCTCTAACAGTGCGATTTTTGGGAATGTTTTTTAATAATGTCGAGGTATTTACAGACCCAAAAAAACGATGATAAAAGAGAAAACAAGGCGAGACGCTGTCTGTCGTGTGCTCTCTTCCATTCATGTCTTTCTGCGTTTCAAATACCCAAAAAAAAAAACAGTGCGCTTTGAAAGGCTCGTCAAATCACCAACTCACCACAACGAAGTCCTGACTGTCCAGTGCGCCCACGATAGGACCAGGAGGCTCGGCCTCCCTGTTCCGTCATGGGAGCAGCCATGTTGGCACATTCGTGTCATGTACGGGATAAATAACAAAATTCTGAAGAAAAGGAAGAAGGCGCTGGGAATCGAGCGCAGTGCTCCTCGGAATGGAGGTGAATGCTTTTCACTAGAGGCCGCCACAGTGCTCTCTGGGCTGTTAGTGCGCGTGTCCCCCCCCCCCCCAAAAAAAAAGATACTTTGCTGAGGCTGTGACGTCGGCTTTTGTACACTCGTGCAACAGTCCAGAAAGGAGGAAACCTTCTTCTCCGTAAAAAAGGTGCGTTGACCCCACCGCGGTTGGCCGAGTGCCTTAGGTCATGGCGTAACTGAAGTAGTTGGGCGGGGGAAGGGGGACTTGTACAGTGTGCTTACCTCACCATCTTCTCTGGAGCCAACGCTCTGCCGCCGTCGTCTCCTCCTCCTTCTCACTGCGCGCTCTTCATCGAGGAGCGCTGTGGCCCATGGCGCCCTTCTCCGGACCTCGGTACCCGTGGGGCTGCCTTCGCACGGTGCCGGCTTGTGGACGTGGCAGTAGGTCTGGTTCTCGGGAAAGTGCACGTCTGACCTCTTGTACACGACGGAATGGAACGTCACCGGCTGAACGAAAGTACCGGCTGGCCGGCTCGACAAAGTACTCTTCGCCGCTCCGCATTGCTATGACGCCGTCGAAGAGCCCCTCGCTCGTGATGAGGCCCTCAACCGACGACTCTTCGTCCTCTGCGGTTAACAATGATATGTTGCGAGCTCAGATGTCAGAACCTATAAGTGCCACAGCTATAGCAATAGTCTGAGATCATATCGTATATCGTCTAAATCTTGGTTCCATCATCTAAAATCGGGTATTAGTGCTCAGGGACGTTTGCCATAATCTATGTGCCTTAAAAGGGGCTCTGCTTCACACGTTCCAAATGTATGCAACTCATCGCGTTCAAGCTTTATGTAATGCTAATAGTGGTGTTCTCAGAAGGAATCATCTTATTTTAAAATGACTCATTGTGCCATTTTTTTTCTTGTTGATCGTTCTCATCAGTATGGTCTTGTTCTCTTTCTTCCGAACTGTTCCTTTACTGTTTTTTATGTCTCACTTTTATTTGCCGTTGTTTCAAGTTAAATCACACTTGTAGTAACTGGTAAATTGGATTCAAACTCTTATATGTCTGGATGCACGTCTTCTCAAATGTATTGAGCCCCAGTCCTTAACAAAGAAACACAAGAAACGCCTTTGATATTTCTGAAGGTTGCTTTTTTTTTCTGTTTTTGACATGGCCTTTGAGGCTTCTGCCTACGTGCTCGCTTAGAGGTATGTATAACTTTCTTATTTCATATTGTTAAATACAACCAATGTTCACGTTTTCTTGAAATATATTTTGCTTATGCGGTCTTGCTGCCACAGTTATTAGGGTGTGGGGCATTGGTCAAGCTGTTTATTGCAGCTACTTATCCCTGTCCCAACAAATGATTCTGTAACTATACGAGGTAAATAAATTCTAGGTGCTGCGTTTTTCTTTGCTCTTTATTATTCGAGAAGTAAGGCACGAGGTGAAAATTGACTTGAAGTGTATTCGCCTTTGTTGGTGTGCTCACCTTCGATGTATCCCTTGAGGACCTTAGAGGTGTCGTACGAGATGGGTCCTTGACTGGATGACTCGAAGATGACGTCGGGACTGAACACGCTGGTGTCTCGCTTCATCCGCAACCGGAATTGCCTGCACCGACGTTTATAGAACTGAGTTAAAAGTGAGTAAGCGTCTATAAACGTTAGCCTGTACCAACAAGATTACTAATGGGATCCATAGAAACAAAACTAATTCTTTTGCGATTTAGCTTTGAAGCCTCCCTTTTTATTGGCTTTGATGTGAAACGAAGAGGCCATTCCAGGTCATTGTAAAGGCTAGTATTTTCCTGATGCTTCCGAAGAAGACTTTGATGTTGCCAATGAGTTCCACGGGATTCTGCATTGTGGCGGAAAGGTTCATAAAAGGACAACATAACGGGTACTTGCCAGTTTTCCTTTGTTAACATTACTGCCACCAAGTGGGATGGATTCCGCATTCACAAGATTTTGTGTCCATGTGCTTCAAGTTGTCTATTGATTTGACGTTGCACTGCCAATTTCTAGCCTAGCTCCTATTTAGATCATTTAGTAGAGCGACAAAAAGCGTTGGTCCCGGGTTCCATTCCCAGACCGGAAAGTTTTTTTGGCAACCAAGAAACCTTCGTTCTAAAAATCGGCATCAATTTCCTCGCGGTTTTATGCTACGAAGGAATGGTTGTCAATTTCTTTTTTTTTTAAATTTTGATATGTAACTGACGAGAGTGGCGTAGCCAAGGAGCGGCTAGTCCGTATAGGCATGTGCCTATAATGACTACCGGAGGCGGCATCTATCTCCAAAGCATCGCTTTCACTGCACACTGATTGGCTGGTTCGACAAAGGCAGGCAACTATATGGTTTGCCTCGGTCATTGAACAATGCGGGACTCTACGTCTTGCAGCAACAAGCTGTCGCCGAAAAAGGTCGTCTCAAATTAAGGCCCATAACCTCATGCGTTCACTGGGTGTGGTAACCTGTTAGTAATTCTTTTCAGAACGTCAATTGCACATACTAAATGTATTGTAAAGTTGTTTAAGAAAGATTCACGTGTTTATGTTACAAGCGTTTTCGTCTTTCATTAGGTGGCACAATAGGCTCATTTTCAATATGAAAAAAAAAATTCCCGCTTTCCATAAACCATTTTTAGCTGTACATCAGCAAGTATAAAAAGATATGCAGGTCTAAATAGCAGATTAAACTTCCGAAGTGAGGCTTTAGTGCGACGCAACAGCCCAACAACGATGAGCGCTATATTGAGTGCTTGTCGAGATAGGAGGCGTATGTACAAACTGTACAACGCACGCGTAAATCTTTGCATCGCAAGCGCTCATACCCATTTTGCAGAATTGACCACGAATCGATGAACACGTGTCTGCCATTACCAGATATATATCCAACCACCCAAGAAGGCTGAAGCCCGAGTATAAGTTTACGAAAATGGAAAAAAAGACCACTAAATATTGTGCGGTTGTTCAATAAGCTTTCCGAGTGCTTTATATATGCTCATTAACTGGAATTACATATATGTTGCGATTCGCTGTTCTGCTAGAGAGGACGTCCACGAGTCGTGCTTTGATTGTCAACATGCAGGATTGTGTTTAACCAGCTTCTAGATAATGCGTTGGGCCAGGTAGAAGAGCGTTATGAAAATTCGAGTCTGCTAATTATGATCGACACGTGTGATTGTGCGAGACTCGTATATGAATTAGGTCATTTTTTTATGCAGTAGAAGCAGCTTAGACTAGTCTGTTTCATATATGACGATACATACATATTAGTATTCATTAAATTTGTACAAGCCTCCTTGAACGCACGTGTTATAGATTAAGCGGTTCTGTTGGTTCGATACACCCAGAATTGCTAAAGCGGTTCGCACTGTTCGTTACGGCCACGTGTGCTCGATCGGGTGAGCTCGAAAACGTTACGTCCTCAACCATCTCAATAAGGCTTTCCGAAAACGTTTGTCCCCTTTTTCCCTTCGCGTGTTCACCTTCATCGTTGTCGTTGCAGAACATGAACTGGCTGACCCCCTGACATAAACGAAACCGTGCTGTGGTGCAAAACCAAGCGTTGCGTTTAAAATGTGGCAGAAGGTCGTAATATATTGCGCGACCAATCGACGGCCGTTGTGAAGACGTAAATACGTCTTTGTCCCGATTGAAAAGCAATTGACTGGTATACAATAAAGCACAGTGAAAATTGTGTCCGCAACTATATGGACATATCCAAAAGAACGGCAAGAAGAGAAAGAAGGCAGGTTGCGATGAAAAATCCGTGAACAGTGGTTGTGCGTTGGAGGTGATTTTTGGCGAGTTCTCTTGTCTCTTTCAAGGCTGCAAGACTGAAACAATATGCACTAGCATAAGCAATACCACCTCGAACATGTTAGCACGTGACGAATAGCCTCGAACCCGGCATCGGTCTATTCGCCACGGTCACTGTCGGAAACAATGTGGAAAGGGTCACGTCTACACAGCCGCCTAGATATTGCTGCTGCGAAATCAAGCTTATCACTAGTGTGTCGCTGTTGGCTAGCGGTGATATGAGCTCACATCGGTGCGCACAACTCCAATCGATGACCCATCAGGAATATGCAGTTACAAAGATATCGGTTGTGACGAAGCCTACCGTGATGCAGAAGCCACGGTTTTATTACGTTCACGCGGTGGTCGTTGAACATTTTGATACGCGTCTTTCACTAGTTTGTTTTTTTATGCATTCGCTTTTCGTGTTATCATTGCTAGTAGCCGATGGCACGCGATCAGCAACTGTTTCGCAGCAACGATTATGCTAGAGTGCCAGTAGGTAAGCAAAATAGAGCCCCTCCTTTCTCCGCCGGTTTTTTTCAGCGCCATCTACGTATCATGACATCCCAGTTTTGAGGCTATTTGCCACGAACTCACGCGTTCGAGCTCATATTGCTCACGAGAGTACAAATCGATGTCATCAATTCAAAATATCGCAGTAGAGTTTCTGATTTTCGGAAATCAGACGCCTGACCGCATTTATTAGAACTTCGTATGATTGATTGATATGTGTGGTTTAACGTCCCAAAACCACCGTTTGATTATGAGAGACGCCGTAATGGAGGGCTCCGGAAATTTCGACCACCTAGGGTTCTTTAACGTGCACCCAAATCTGAGTACACGGGCCTACAACACTTCCGCCTCCATCGGAAATGCAGCCGCCGCAGCCGGGATTCGAACCCGCGCCCTGCGGGTCAGCAGCCGAGTACCTTAGCCACCAGACCACCGCGGCGGGGCGAACTTGGTATGAAAGCGAACACTTAAGAAACATATTTCACTTCATGATATGTGTTTACCGATTTCACCGTTTCGTCGTGCCTTACAATGGGGTACGCTGAAGGTATAGGGCAAGTTGGTAAGCATTCGAACCAACGCAATCCTTTCGCGTAATCGATATAGACAGGCTCAACACTCATAACGTCGTTGTCTGTATTATATTATTTTTGAGCTCCTTCGGGATACTTATTATAACCATATATTCGCAACAAAATCTGACTGGTCTCGACAAACAAGTGCTCCTCAACTAATGAGCAACGTTGCTCGAGAGGAGTGAGATTATTGCGCCGTTTTTCTCACAGTTCATCAACACACCATCTTATCAAAATTTTAAGTGTGAATACACTTTATAAGCGACCCCAAACCATCCACCGCCGTCGGCGGCGTCCGCAGTCTTCTCTCTATCTTTAAAGCAAAGAGGACTTGGCGGGCCGCAGCGCGACGCTCTACCGAATAAGCCACGGACGCGACGCTGATATCCCCCTTCGCTCGCTCCTCCGCTCTCCTCGCTCGCTGCAGCTGCGCGCGCACCCCTCTCTCTCGCGCGCCCGCCTTCTCTTTCAGTCTCCCGTCGAGAGCGGGTCGTGAGGGGGAGTAAAGTTAAAATCCGTTGGCATTCGCCAGTGAGTTAACGTAAACTCCCCCGTGTGATGAAATTGCGATTCCCAAGAACCATTACACCATAAAGGCACCATAGTGTAATTAATAAATATAATAGTGCGAATTAATAAATACCCCTCATAGCATCATCCCGTGTATTCGCACTTAACCATGTTCACCCTCGGGAAAATGCTTGGGAGTTTTCTAGCTTGAATTTTCTTTTTAATGTGGAGGTGTATCCGCGGGGCCGTCCACTTTTTGGGGGAACATGGCTCAGCGTGGGCGCGCAACGCGGAGTGCCAGTGCACCGGGCGCCGCCGTGCATCGAAGTGATTTCAATCGCTGAGCGCTTTGCATACACGCATGCGTAGCAAAACAGCGGCGCCATGCAGGCATGCATCCCGCTGCAGTTACTATAATGACATAGTGAACTAAACTATAGACGGACTGCACACGAAAGCTTGCAACAAAAGCTGAACCTGCTACTGTATTACTGTACAGTATTACTATGCAGCACTACACTTCAGTCTTACTGTACAGCATTGCACATTTCATTTTTACACATTCAAGGATGACCTTTTTGCATGTGGCGACGTTGAATCTAACTCTGGACCGACAGAAAAGGATTCGTTGATGCAGTTTCTTTCAGGACAATCCGGCACAACTATATCAATCAACAATGTTTTAGCTAAACAGGGTGAAATTAAAAGGGACATTACCAAATTAAACGGCTATATTGGGAATCTCGAACGTAAGCTACCTCCTTTGCTTTCATTAAAAAATGAAGTAGATGAAATAAAATTAACAGTAGCGAAGCTTAAAAAAGCAGGAGAAATAACCCAATAATATATCGTATTGTAGAAGCCGTCTCTTAAACAAATAAAAGTCTCATCATTAATATTCATGAGAACTTGTTCTTATAAAAAAATTCTAGTTCGGTCAATAGCATAGAGTGGTCTCATAGACAAGGTAAAAAAACTGCTAAAATCATCCTGTAATAATAAAATTGTTGGACTATCGCGAAAAAACATCAATAATTATGGCATGTTTCAAGCTACAGGGATCGTTTGTTTCAGTCACAGAGGATTTTTCTTCCGGTGTTAGAGAAACCCGGAAAAAATTGTGACAAACTGCTACACATGAAAAGAAAAATGGTTCAAAAGTCAAGCTGGTATATGATAAGCTGTACCTAGACG